TGAGTGGTGGACTAGTGGATAATAAATTACGGACGATGTAGAATAAAACGGAAATAATAAAATTTAAGGTTCCCTCTCGGAATTTCTTAAGGACTGAAGAGTGCCGTGAGATAATTTAGGATAGGCGGTCTGCGGGTCAAGAATTGTATCAGGAACCCCCAAAATACGATGCAGATGGAGAGCCAGCTCTTTAATCTCGACATTCGGGATATAGGTCATACTGACAATAGGTTTACGGCGCATTTTCGGGTTTTGTGCAGGCGGCTGTGCAATTTTATACATATGTTATGCAGCGGAATTCATCAAAACAAGTTTGCGAGTGCTGTTTCTATTGATACATGAGAAAATGAAGAGAAAATCCGAAACTGCAGACAAGTATTATGGTTAGGAAATTGATAGAACTCTACTGTAAGGTAAAGCAATACAGAAATCATGAATCACCACTAACTATAATCATAGGAGACTGACTTTATATTGCTGCTCGCATGTGGGAAAATAAATTAGAAGTTCTTCTGCCGTCACTGACCGTATACTAATTTTATTTACAAGCGATGATCGTTCTTTGAAATAACAGCAAACGAAACCAACCTCAGTCGAGTTCTTGTGGAGCACAGCGTCGTAAGGCGTTCAAAACATATACAGCGCATTCTGTAAATGAAATAATTACTTGCAATTATTTTCATTATCATTAATGACCATATTTGTCTGCTTTACAAGTAATAGCATCTTCAGTGTACTGCATTGTTCGATCAAACAGCAACACTAAATTTATCTCAGAAGGGCGTATAGCCTATACACAGGCGCGCATGCGCTCATGCACACACATGAGCGCACACAGTACATTCGTATACATATATAAAGTGAGGAAGCCTTCCTGAATAAATCGCTGTAATCAATTAAATTCCTCACGTGTATGTAGTCTCTTTTTATTGATCGTAGTGTCCAAAGTAGATACTCTCTCGACAAAACACTTATAGCACTTCCCACAATTTACAGTAGTATTACCTGTGGATAAGAAATCTATTTCGACTTTACAACTCTAATTTCCACTTCAGTTTGGTTGAGATCTATTAATATAAACACTTATTTGTTTTTACTTACCTATTTATTCAATTTGCACATGTTCTATTTGGTTCACGACCTAAGTATATGACTAACTACTACAACATTAGACATGAATTATACATTATTATAATTATTTATTTTATGGTCATTTAATGACGGTGAAAGAAATAAGTTATGAAAAACACAAACTGGGAATGTGAGCTGAATTGCAAGCACGAGGCTACACGAGTTACTATTGCAGTAACAACTACACTACACATTTAGGTAATTTATCAGTATTCCAAACTCTATCAACTGTATGTAGCTATTATTAGGTAATATTTTATACCAACTAAATATTTTATACTTTTTGCACTATCATTATACTTCGCTTCTCAGAGTTATTATTAAGAAGAAAAAGTTGTACAGACCGAACAGTAGAACATTACTATCGATAAAATCACACCGAAATGACCTCAGTAACTCCATTACTCTTCATTCTCATACTGTGTATCGTATTTCAGTTAACAAACAGTACCCAGATACACATACACACAGATTACAAGACACTGTGAACAACATTGATTATTTCGGAATATTTTACAGGGGACAAACGAAAAGAAAATTACCATTCAGGGGTAATTTGTCATTCATACATATAGCTAACCGATTTTTCAATGGCTCCCGGCATGGAATTAAAGTGTTAGAAAACAGAGGTCTATACAAATTGTCAGTGAGATCTAGGAAGGTATACGGAGTTCAGACGTGGGGAATTCAGGAACTGGGGGAAGAGATACATTATATTTATTGCAGGTTTTGTAAGGAGATTCTCTGCATAACGTTAACGGTTTTTCCATTTGCTTTCCACAGTTAACGGTTTGACTGAAATAGAATTAGGTAGTAATAACTGAAGAGACAAGAATTTGTAAGTACTGATGTCATATATCCTTCAAGAACGTAAAAATACTTAAAACTGTATACAGTATGAACCGAATTCTCGAAGGACTGATAACTGGCATAACAGGCTAAATAATGTACTCAGAACAGACTGGGCTCAAATTTGAGAAGAATAAAAAATACAATGTTCTGATGTATAAATTTGAGAAATAGATTTAATAATTTTAACGACTAGACACGTTTGCAATATTGGTGGAAATGGCTTCGATTGTCCTTGATTTCTTTACGGAGAACACGGAAGAAAATGAAACATGGGATGTTTCTGTAATGGAAAAGTAAGATAAGGGTGTCGTGGTGGAGACTAAGGGTGTGAAAACTGAAGGAGTGTAGGAGGGGAAGCAGGGAGAAATAATATCTCGTACCTGGTGAACCGGAAGATGAAATGGAAATTACGTTAAGATATGCCGAAATATCCAACTGCAGGGTGGAGGCTATTCGTGAAAAATGGAGGAGCTTCCACGTATAGAGAGTTTCAAAGAAACTTGTTAACTGCAGGAGTAAGATTTCTCTTAAATGTATATGCGATTACCTGCTCACAATTAAAAACATGAGGGAAGGGTGTGTATTATATAAGAATGTCGTCATTTGGGATGTGGTTCCGTGTAGATATTGTGTAAACCGACGTTTCGGAGAAATATATAGTCTCCATCTTCAGGGTATAAAAATCCGCGAGCGAGGAACCAGCGTGCTGGCTGCAGCCACATGCTCACGCTTGCTTCTCGCTCGCCGATGTTTATACCTTGAAGATGTAGACATGTTCCTCTGAATCGTCGGTTTACACAACATCTACACGGCGCCATGTCCCAGAAAACGACATTCTTCATAGTCACGGCTGTGAAAACCTCAAATCTTACAAGATAGATGTACATTACTAAATTAAGCTTATGAGGTGCTGCACTTTCTACAAGAGGCCTGGCTCCATAATACTCGTGAGTAGTCAGTTTGATATATAAGTCAGAACACAATAGAAATGAAGACACCAAAGTGGCGAAAATCTGATTAATTAATTAAATTAAAAAGCTTCCCATATTCCGTAATTCAGAGTGAAACATACTCTTTGTAGTCAGTTCACTGGATCGCTGGCTGATGCTAAGTAACGAGCTGTAACATTCGTCCACTGAGAACACAGCTTCCATTGTTGCGTGTTAGAACGTGTTTACGGAGCCGTTACCTAGCAATGCGTCACAATATGTTCCGTCTCAGTAATTTAGTTGGAGTTTCTAAGTATAATCATTATATACGAAGATGATAACAGTTTCTTTCAAAACCCAAAACCTGGGTTGCCAGAATTAACCTAATCATTAACTACTAACGATAATGATTAATATTATAATAAGGTTTTTATTATTACTGTACGAGCTGGAAAACATCTAAAGCAGGCCATGTCCATCTCTGACGTATAGATCTACTGGTAACAAAAAGTAAATTCGCCGTATGATATCGGCAACTTCTCCGACAAGAGTCTGTGGCGGGTTATATAACTACTCCCTTACAGGCGCTTCCTGTATGTTGTAAACGGGCATGATAGGGAGATTTCGTGATTTCATGACTGCTCTAGTACATCGAGAGATTTACCGTAGTTGTTATAGCCAAACGCGCAAGATTTTGATCTCGAGGTTTGGGAACTTGATCTCATCTTCCAAGCACAGATAAGTTTGAACAAGTTTCGTACTTGCTGTCTGTATCGCTTACATAGAAGAGGGCACGAGTTACCGGAAACAAACTGCACAGGTTGCTGGTAGGTTATAAAGTTGACAGTTGTCAGTGAGTGGACTACTACGTTTCCCAGCGTACAGTCTGGTACTGAACACAATTGTATTTCACAAAATTACTTTTTAACACATTATTCTTCCCCATAATCATCCACTTTAACAAAAATAAATATAGGTTCTATAAACCCAAGAAAACACGTAATAATAAAATAATCATATTTAAAAAAATATAGTTCAAAAATGTTCTATTTAAAATTAGTTTGCCTCCTGACTGATGTAACTTTTAAAATTATCCAACAATCATTCACTTCTGCTATGTATACCAGCAGTGACACCTGCCATTTCCAGGACAAACCTATGAATGCAATGAACTTCACTGTACAGACGGCATACTCGGTTCGCATAATTTTCAGACAAGCTACAGACGTGTGACTCATGAATGCGAATCCGTAAAAATGTAAAACATTAAAGTTTTTCATCCACATAAAAGATTACGCTCACGTACTACGAAATGCCAACTCATAAAGCTAAATTCTATTATCTTTAAAGTAAGTTGCAGTCTATCCTTACAGTAAAGCGCCTCTTTCTCTGGAATTAATACAACAATTAAGAGTCATGTGTCAATAATTTAGAATTCTCCACTTTTAAAATGAAAAAAAAATAGTCATATTTTTACTACTTGCTTCGACTTCTTAATCTTACTGACATTTTAATCGAGGGGTCGGAGTTCGAGTTCCGGTAGTGTCAAGAATTTTCTCTTCTCCACGTTTCCGGACCGGCTCTGTGGTCCACCCAATCTCCTATCCAATGGGTACGGGGGCCTCCTTCCCTAGGGGTAAAGCGACAGGAGCATTAAGCTGAGCACTCACCGCCAGCTAGTGCCGAGATCAATAAAATGTGGATCAATACATCCACTTCCCCATACTCCTTTAAGGCGTAGTGCTTAATTCGTTAAGCACAGGGACAAATTTACTTTTACTGACACCTCAATTTTAGTTACTAGGTGCTGAATACAGGCGTTCTGTGCTGTATGTATGTATGGTTCCAAGAGTATGTATGATGGGCTGTCGTGGTTCATGTTTTATACCCTCCAGTGAATACAATAACTTGGAGACCGTTTGTCAACCTCGACCGGCGAGCATGACGGTAGTAAGAACGACATCTCGGCCGAAGCATAACAACTGTGGGACAGGGATTGATCAAAGCCGGCAGCACGTGGTTGCCCTTTGCGCCGGCGCAAACGTGAGGAGTATTCTGCAGAAAGTTGTGGCGCGAGTCGTGAACAAACAAGTCAGCCCCAGTAGCTGTGTGTCGCGTGTGCCGGACGGTTAAAAAGTAGCAACCTCTCCCAAAGAAATCAGTGGTATAGCAAATATACTTGGAGAGCTGTTCTGAAAGGCTTTGGGTTTGACGGGGGTGATGACAAGGCATTGTCCTCCTGTGGTGACGTGACATGAGCCCAGCAGTGACTTATTGGTGCGAAATTTGTAGGACGCTCGACACGCTGTCATGGCACAACTTGGGAACTTAGTGATGACAGCAATCATCGTCATCAGCACAACACTCGGTAAGGGACTTACATTAGTTACATCAAGTGTAGCTAATCTGCAGAGTTATAGATCTTATGTCATCTAATTGTTGGCGCGAATAACCCTACTTGTGTTTATTTAAAAATTTCGCATCCAGCTATGTTATTTTCTATATACATATGGAAGAAATATGAATTTATATTTAGATGTGACGCTTCATCTTTATTATATGTTCAAAAATTATTTATTTAATGCACTAAATTTATCAGCTTGTATATATAAATATATAGATCAAGGCAAATACACTCCAATATTTGTAGTGTCTGTAACTTCAATTTAAACATATCGAAAGAGTTTATTAAAGACACCCTATCTCTTCTAGACCCGACCTTGCACCAGAAGAATTACTTCAATGGGAACATTAGCTCCAACGCATCTACTGCATAACATAATGACCACGAAACAACACAAAGAAATTTCTGTACGTGATTGGAAGTAGACAGACAAATATGTTTCGTCATAAATAAAGCCCTAAAGGACTGATGAAATGTCACAACAAATAGTTCGGCTCCGATTTGAGGTCTTGTACTCAAAATGGGGGCTGCTACCGGAATCACCTCCGTCTCTCAAATATTAAAAAATCTAAAGCAGTGACCAAGTTCCTAGAATCTTCAGCTGTATTCAGAAAGCTTGAAATGAGTAAAAATTTGTAGGTGCATTAGGTGATATCCGGGTTTCATAGAAGAGATGTTCGTTAATTATCTCATCAGCGACAGGTGGTTATTTTATCCGAGACGGAAACCGGTGTTCAAGCATCACTACTAAATTCTTTAGTCGAAAATAGTTGCTAAGTTCCGTTAATACTGTCGCCATTATCTCCTTCGTAAGTGTGGAAAGCAAGATGTGATAGTTAAGAATGAACAATTTCAAGGAGCCGATGAACTGCAGAAACAGAGCAATAATTTGCGTTTGGTAATTGGGAATCGATTTACAATTCTCATTACAGGGGCAGTGCAAATTTCTGAAATTAAATAAAGGGTAGAAACATTGTTTAAATGAGGAGAGATTTTTTAAATCTTCCTATACGTCTTAATAGCTGCAGTGGTAAGTGTAGCTGTGTTCAAGCATCTGTATATAACAGTAATAAGTCAAACCGCTTCAACATAAAGATAACTGAACATACGTATGCAGTAACTTGTTTGTTCAAAATGTCAATTCGGGGTATATTTTAAATATTTCGATGGCTCTTCCAGCCCATTCACAGCCCCGGCCTCTTATTCAGTTCCGTAATCATTTTCTTTCACAGACGGAAGGACTCCTTGGACTAGTGATCAACCTATCGCAAGGCCTCTACCTAAATACAGGACAACACAAACACACAATAAACACACACACACACCAAACAGCCATGCCTTCAGTGCGATTCGAACCCACGATCCCGACTTCCGAGCGAGCGAAGACAGTTCATGCTTTAGACCGCGCGGCTACCTTGACCAGCCGATTTTAAATCTGTGGTTGGCAAATATATTCAAGTTAATGTTCTCCCCCACAAAAATCACTGAATTCTAAAGAATGCTGTTGTAAGCCGTTGATCATGCAGCTTAAAAATTAAATATTTCTAGTTTCGTAACTCCGCAACAAACATTCCACTAATCCATTCTCGAATATTAAGAAACTCTGTGATATTTTCTGGTAACAACTTTCTATAGTTTAAATAATAATAATAGTAATAATTTTTGTTCTTGAGCGAATATAACGTTGATTATATACTGTACGTAATATACATTTTGCTCAGGTTGAAACAAAATTAAAATTTATTTTTATCTTGCAGATTGACAGCATGAAAAGTGGACCAATATCTTACTATCTTAATAGATTATTATCCATAAAGATTTGTGAAAGGAGTAAAGTAAAGTAAAGTAAAGTAAAGTAAAGTAAAAGCGAAATCGGACCGCGACCAAAGTTTCCACGCCCAAAATTTCTTCATGACTTTCTTACAGTCCTACTGTCATGTAAACTAATTAAGGGAAATTTCAGCAAATAACACTTTACAAAGGAAAGTAAAGATAAAGCAGACAGTTACGCTGTAAAATTACGTGAATACAGCAGGAGTGGAGGATGTGCTGGAATAAAAGACGGCATACGGTCCAGTAACACAGGATTCTAGTAGGGAAGCAACTTGAAAACGAGTTGCTGAGAACGGATGCAAACGATGAAGCTTGTAATGGGGGTAAAATTATTCATTGGAACGTAGGGAAAGCTGAATAGGTCCAAATGAATATATTATACCACCAGACTATTATGGTGATCACTTTCAACTTTCTCAGTTTTCAAAAGAGTTAACGGAAACCATCACTTGAAGTGGAGAGTATAACC